ACCCTTGTGGCGAAGAGGTCTATTAATGGTGCTCCCATCTCTCGTATGATCTGTTTGAAGATCTCTGGATGTAGCATCCAGTCTGTTGAGAACGGCTGCGTTGGACAGGATAGTGCATCTGCTATCACATTCTTGGCTCTTAGAATGTGGCATGCTCTGATGTGGACATTCAGGTTGACTGTTATGCTGGCCAGTGGAAAACAGAGGTCCAGAAGGTTCGCCGACTTTGTTGATCCTTCTGTGGATGTAGAACGCCACTGAGGAGGTGACTGTATGTACCCTCAGATGAGCATTCTTCAAAATGCTGGTCCAGTGGAGTATTGTGTTTATCACTGCTTTCATTCCCAGCATGTGGAAGTGCAGATCTTCTCTGCTATGGTCTATATCCCAGCTGACACATCGTTGTCGAGGTGTGCTCCCCAATCTTGGAGAGACGCTGCCCACATAGAGATGCGCCTTATACTCCGCTCTGCTAAATAGGTATGCTGCTAATTCTCCAATCTCTGGAGTCCACCATATTAGATATGGATTTAATCTGTCCGGAGTCCGAAGGTCCGGATCGCCCAGTTGTACATTCACGAAGACCTGTAGTGGGTGTAGTGGTAGACTCCCTCTGCGTGTCATGTCTTGTGCTGACGTGAGAAGAACCAACAGACTCTGCCACTTCGTAGTAATAACGGAGAGAGTAGTGCTTGAGATACAAGGACTTGTATCTATATCCTACGATCTTGAAACCCTTGCCGTCCGTAAGGGAAATGAAGCGATGTCCAGCCTCGCGACTGCCATCGGTGTGAAGTCTATATAAAGTCGCCTGGCTGCCGCCACCCAAAGCCTGTCCAACGATGTTGCTGCAATTCGCCTGATGAATCGCCTGCAATGATGACAGGGAAGGTCTCTAACCTCGTGAAGACAGCCAAATCACGTAGGTCCCACCTAACTGGACTGTAATTGAGGCCTTCCTCTCTCGCTGACAGGTTGTTGTCACTTGTAACCCACTTCTTGACCTGTGAACTACAGCCGACCTTCGCGCAGGGCGTTGTCTCGTGGGTCCAATCAAAATAAAGCATTTTGATTCCTTTGGCTTGCCGCGCTGTGATGTCAGCGGTGTAGCAGGAAAAAAGATCCTTGTAGAATCTAGTGCCGCCGTTGATATCTTATCACCTCTCTGTCTTGTCCGTAGCCTTCCGGAGTTACACGAGTGACCACGCGGTATCGAGGGTTGAATGGTAAACGCCACAAATATTTCGCCAGTAATACCAATATAGGTAGGCTGTTTTCCTGGCTGCTGTGACTGTTACTTCAGTCCTGAAGATAATGTCGCCGCCTCTTTATACAGATGATCAGCTGAAATCGCCACGCTTGTCAGTGCTGCTCTTGTAGACTGCATACAGCCATCTCAATGAAGCCGTGAATTGTAGAATTAATGCTGAACTTTGTTGGAAATTCTACTCAGGGAATCGCTGACGAAAGTATGTAGTTACCTAGCCTTAGCAAGGCTGCTGTTGAACCACGCCAGTGAGAATATTTGCAGATTTGTAACGAAGTGAAGATCTCTATATGGCCATGAGTCTTCTAAAGTAGATATATCAATCTATGTGAATCCTGTCCTGGATTCAGTCTGAAGAGCCGTGCGGTGATGAATTCGACAAGAGTACCCCTCTTGAACTTTAGTACATGCCCTTCAGTCTGTGTGCCGACGGCGATCTTTCCCTTCTAGGGTGACGCCAGGTCCAGTCGCCTCGTGGTCCTGGTTGAATAACCTTGAAGATCTGGCGAAGCGATCTGGCGTGGTGGTTGGCGCAGTGTGTCTGTATGGCGCTTTGCGTGTAAGTAATCGTCTCGTAGTCCGGGATTGCCTTCCTGGCAATATATTCCGAAATGGTGATTCCCGTGATGATCTGCGAGGCATCATTGATGCCCTTGATGTAGGTAGTCGGCCTGAAGATCCTTATTAGGCTCATCATCTGTTGACGGTCTCTGAAGATAGCGCCGTCCTGCGCTCAGGTTGTAGACAACATGTAGCGTTCTGTTGAGAAGCTAAGTACTGCGACGTCTCTGCGTTGTAGATGGCCTGTGCGAATGCCTTTGCGCAGGCTTGGTGACGACATGTAGCGTTCTGTTGAGAAGCTAAGTACTGCGACGTCTCTGCGTTGTAGATGGCCTGCTTGACGGCATTTAGCGTTCAGTTGAGAGACTAAGTACTGCGATGTCTCTGCTTCGCTGGGGATCTGCGTGGAGACCTGCGTGGAGACCTGAGTGAAGACCTTCGTGGAGACCTGCGTGGAGACCTGCGTGTAGATCGGCATGGAGAGGAGCCCGGTGAACTGCGTCTGTAAGGCGACCTTACTGGAGACCTGCGCGGAGGTGAGCGTCTCTTGGTTCGCGTCTCGACGATCTATGCGATGTTGAAGATGTCTTTGAGGCTGTGTCCGAAGTCCTTCGCGAGTGCCTTCGCGAATGCTGATCATCTGATTCGGCATCTGGGGATAGGCGTGTCGTCCTTCGCGAGTGCCTTCGTGAATGCTGATCATCTGATTCGGCATCTTGGGATAGGCGTGTCGTCCTTTGCGCAGGCTGGTTGACGTCCGGAAGCGTTGATCTGTTCCCAGTCGTCACGTAGCTGGAGTGCCTTTCTGCAGCATCGTCTGCGTTGGAACCTTCGCGAAGATCCGGGTCCGTTCTGCGGGCTGGTTGTTGATCATGCGATGCCCTTTCCAGTGTGAAGCGCCTCTCCATCATCTCCAGGATCTGCTGTGAGAACTGCTGCATGAAGTCCCCCGGGTTGAATGTCTGCGGTGAGAGATGAGCTGCCCACTCTGCTTTGGTAGCGATATGGCCCAGGGATCGCTTATCTGCCGTCAGTGTAGATACCTCGACTGCGTGAGACAACTGGCGCTGACTTTACCGCTGCTGAGGCCAGCTTCTACCGGGTGATGTATCTCGGGATGATGAGCCGACGCTCATCATAGAGTCCTCTTCCGCCATCGGGACAATCTCGGCCGAAAGTCCTTGTGGTCTCGCGCAGACGTCCCCCGTAGAGTTGGTCGTCATCTTAGGGTGTGTACCCTTCTGTGGGTAGAGGATGGCTTCTTTTCTTCGCTCTGCGATGAATGTAGAGCTGCCCTCTCTGCGCTGATAGCCATATGGTCCAGGGATCGCTTCATCTGCCGCCCTCGGACTGCGTGGCTGTATCTCTGGGATGATCAGCAGCGCTCATCATGAAGTCATCTCACTTCCATCGACGATGTCTGCCTAAAGGTCCCTGTAGTCTGCGCAGAAGTCCCCGTAGAGCTGCTAGGCGTCTTAGGGGTGTGAGGCTTCATTCTGCGTAGAGGATGGCTTCTTCTTCTACGTCTGCGTTGAGGGGTTTTCCGATGTAGAAGCCAACTTCTTCGAAGTAATGGCGGACAACATTCCACGCCCATCCTCCGAGGACACCTCCGGCAGGTCACTGGATGGTAGTAAGTCGTCTGACAGCAGTAGACAGCTCGTGAGGGACTCAGCCAGTTTATCCATGACTTGTAAAGTCACCTGGATTGTCGGTAGTACATCCAAGTACAGAGAAAAATTATTTATTAAATTGAATTCCTGTTAAATGCTGATAAAGATTACATCGATAGCTGGAAGTACATGTTGTTGTGCAGCTAGGGCACAGTCAATACGGGTTTGCAGCAGCGAACCTAAACCTACAACGAAAATAGGTTTTCATGAAATGTAAACAACTGAACAAACACGGACAAACCGTGAATAAACAGTGCAAAATACGAATAATTTTTAACCCATATTGTTGTAAGAAACTTCCTAAACCTCTATAAAAGTAAAATACAGGGTAATAACTAATTAATAAAAGGATATAGTGCCGTATAGGAGACACAGGCGCTCTCCCAACCGCTCACTAGGGCGAAGAAGGAGAGAGTGAAGCATGGGAGTACGGTGGCTTTCCCGCCAAAACGGCCAGACAGATAACTCTTGGTGAGGGGTGATTTTACGTCTCTTTTTTATTGAAGGGAGCTTCAGTAGGAGATACAAGTGTTCCACTAACGTTCGCAAGAGGAAGGAGACAAGCAATAATACATGAGTCAGGATAAGGAAATATATAAATAATTAGTAAATTCAATTTCAGATAAATGCTGACAAAGTTAACAGCAGAGGCTGGAAGAACATGTAGAAGTGCAGTTAGGACATAATGAATGCGGATCAGCAGCCGATAAACGAACACTGCGACGAATGCCAGATTTCATCAAATATAAACAAGATGAAACATCATATCAACAACATGAATAAACGGAAAATTTGGTACGAATTTCAAACCATATTGCTGGTATATCTTTGCTAAAGACCGTATACAGCTAATTTAGTAGTCAAAGCCTAAAATAAAAGGACATAATGCCGTATAGGGGACCCAGGCGCTCTTACAACCGTCCTCTAGGGCGAAGAAGGAGAGAGTGAAGAGCATGTCTGATCATGTGACAGGTTTTGGCGCCAAATAGCAAAGGGAGGCTACTCGTGGGGTCAGTGATTTTACGTCCGCTTTTTTGAAGGGAGCTTCAAATGGTGATTCAAGTGTTCCACTATAGTTCATAAGAAGAAGGAGACAAGCAGTTAAGCATGAGTCAGGATAAGGAAAAATAATTGATGTTCTTTATGTTCTTAGTTTTGTAATATGGGAAATTTTTAACTCAAAATGATAAACATTTTCTGTCTTTTGCTGCAGCCTTGGCTCTGATTATTGGCATCTGATCAGATCTAGGTGAATAGTTGAAAGTGAAACATGTTCAAGGTTGAAATATTTTTCTCTTTGTCAAATTCCAAGGATCAAATCCATTTCTTACTGAATTCAGTAGTCAATTGAAATGTAAAATAATAATCACATAAACTGCATAATAATACAATATTCAAGTCTGAATTGAACATTTCCACATCTTGACATGTTGAACAAGGGGGATATTTATTCCTAGCATTTGAATCCGACTTAAAACTCCATCATTTTGACAACTCACAATGCTCATGTCGGCTACATCTACTAGTATGGCTGGGAATTCGATGATCTCATGCTGATAGTCATCCACCTCCCTCTCACATGTGGCTTCGTAGTCAATGACAACAAGGTAGTCATATTTGGTGCTGCCTGGGGGCTTAATGCGGGCCTTCATTAACTTTTGCTTCTTGTAGACATTCTTTAATCGACGTTTCAGAACTTCCTTCACTCCGCTGCAATATAGTACACAGATAACTTATAGCTGTTTGTTTACTGTTTTATGCTGCATCACAATTCCAGCTGTGATGTGAGAATGGTTTTATGCCGCTTTTAGCAATATCACATGAGGGGACAGCAGAAATGGGCTTCACCCATTGTACCCATGTGGGGAATCAAACACGTTAACCACTAGACTACCCTACCGCCCCAATGGTGGCCTGTAAAAAATCAAGGCTGGTTCTGACAATTAAGCGATTGATGTTGTGATCATTGAGCCTGACCATCCAATCAATTTCATCACCTGTTGAGTGATTATGGTTTTACGCTGCTAAAGCAATATGCCAGCAATATCACAGCAATGGAACAGAACTTCATGAATACCCACATTTGGAATCGAACCAGGGTATTCGGTGTGAGTGAACACTCCAAGCATGAGGCTACCCTACTGCCCTCAGCTCTTATGACTGACATAGGTTGCTAGGGGCCTGCCTGCCTAAGCCATATTTCAAAGTCGTCACCCATAAGGCTTCAAAGTCATGGACCCATAAGGCTTCATGACTGACCATGTTTATGGAGACTTGTTAGTCTTAATGTATGTTTGAAGAACGTAACCTTATAGTGAGTGTTGGATTTTCCATCAACATTGAGATGATGCTCAATGGTATAATTGAAACACTGTTTTAATCTTATTATCCTTACACACAAACTACTCACTACTTGAGAACCAGGGCCTTCAGTAACACTGAACTACCAGACCCCCACTGGCCCAGTTGTCTCTCAATACAGACATACTTTGTATCTAAGAAAACACAACTGATGATGACATACTTGGTGTCTAGTTTGAGTTCTGTCAGTTTTGCTTTCAGCTGGTCTTTAGTCATCTTGTTGACCTCTCCATTCAGCCTAGCCAGCTTCTTGTACACTGGGTCAGAAAACTCTCCTGCACTTGCCACGTCCTTCCTGGGCTTAGAATGATCAGTTTGGGCCCTCTGTATGAAATAAAGAGAATTTAATATTGCAAATCTTAAATATAATGGGTATCATAGATAATTTAAATGCAATTTCAAAATAAATCTATGTGTAATAACAACTACAAGATGTTTCAGGCGATATTTACATATATTAAGATTGTAATCAGCCAACTGAAATTTCCTGATTACCAGTATTCATAAAAATGTTTGAATCTTCGAGTCCACCTCCTCTTTATGTGAAGCAATGTTCCAGCAGCTCTAACCTTTACATGTTATTTGAGAAACTTCTGTTCATTACAGGCTCACACAGACTCAGATTAAATGTAAACTTGCATGTTAGTTCATATACATATAGTAGCTGAAATTAACAACAATTTTCATTCAATGCTCATAAATGTAGTGGTATCATAAAATCAGCATGTCACAAAAATAGGGTTGCCTCCCCTAGTTGATATGATTCACTGCAAAATGGGCTTCACATTTACTTGACATTGTGTTGCAGTTATCAATATTGTAATGTGAATATTTACAACAATTTACCAAATAGAGACTGTTTAATGAATGAAGTTGAATGACACGATATGGTGAGTTTGTGATTTGTATCCAGGTGGACTTCCACAGCAACTTCTGAGCACATGATGTTTCACCCATCAGTGCTGGGTTTCTTTTTCAGTTATTGAAAAAAGGGAATATTTTTGCTGTTGCACATCCAGTAATAACTGGGTAGGTTAATAAGAAACGTCAGCAAGAGTGCAGTGTACAGTGCGCAGCTTACTGTAGTTCATTTGGTTCAGCTAGCCCACTGCCGCTATAGCTTGTCTGCCTTTTCAGTCCTTAATGTTGGTTGTCTTAAGGCTAGGGTAGGTTAAAACCAACTCTATTAGCCCTTGGATCACCTTACCAATCATCAGGATTACCGTACCTCACTAATCAGACACCCTTCATGATATTTAGGGTTGGGCACAACTTGCAGATTAAACACCCATATGTGATCCTTTGGGTGAGGCATTCCTTTACAACTGTTAGATTTAGTTAGTCACTATGCAGGTGACGTATGGCATAGTCAGCTACCTCTTTAATTGAATAAATCAGGCGCAATTTGAGTAAACTCCATACATTTTTATTAACTTTCAGGGTTTCTGAGAATTTTTATTGCACATACCCAAAAGGGTAAACTACCGGGAGCTGAAGACAGGGCAAACGAACACAAATTACTTGTGACAGCGCCCGTGGTTCACAGGTCCCATACCATGCCATGGCCGGGCTTGATAGAAAATCTCATTAACCATGCTAACTTCAAGATTGCAAAGGGAGTTCGATCCTCCACGCAGCGTTAACTAACATTTAATGTACGCCACTTTCAATTGCCGATTGTCGGCAAATGCACTGTTCGTAGAGGCGCCGAATAGAGTTGCACAAGTTCTTAAGTTGTTGTGATCGAAAAATGGACGACAAAAAATGTTTAAAGCTATAAGAATTTTCAAGCAAATATATGAACCTACATCAATTTCCTTCTTGGTTATTGTTAAAGAACCACTGGTTTTCGCCTTTTCTTCCTCATTTTGTTCCCTTAACGGCTGATCACTTTTGGAACAAAGTTTTCTCTCCATTTTACCTTCCATTTTGCTCAAATGATAAAATACGGACACAAGACACACATAATATCTAAAAGTTAACTCTCAGATTAAACGGAATTTAAGACAAATACGCCCTTTGAAGATGCTTGTGATTTTGACGTTTATTCAGGATACTGTATACCTTACATTCGACTATTCATTAGCATGGTTAATGTGATTAAACATTCAATCTGGCCATTTTAATGCTTTCAAAGGCATACGTCTTCTCTTCACAATATTTATATGGATTGAATAAGATTATGTATTGTCTAAGATTTCGGTTGCTGTTCTCTAAACCTCTAGGAACAGCGTTTGCTGCAAGTATGATAATCAGAAAATCATAATCATACATAGTTACGTATAAAAACACAAGGCTCTCTCGTGTACATCGACATCGTTGTGGTTGAATGTTCGACGGGACACATTTCCTTCAAACTCATGTATATATACACCTTTGTTGCACATGGATACTGGAATTCATAGATGTACGCGATTATATAAAATAACAATGCAACAACATTTGTTTGACCTATAAATGACAATCCTAGAGGTACACCATAGGACAAATATTGAGAAAACTCCGATTTTATTCAGTTTCCATGCAACAATGATAACAATCCCATCCGTATATGGTGATAACAAACCGCCAGTGAACTCAGACCAAGTGCTCTTAAAAAGCATGGCCCCACATTAAATTTTTAGGGTTGGCTGGAAAAGCATGACCCCCACACCCTTAAATTAGCTTTACACCCTGCAAGTGTTAATTGTCAGTTATGCAATAAAAGGTTCACTTTTTTAGTGGCATTTTGGAAGTTGAGACGTACAATATAGAACGAACTTTATGGAACTTTAAAGTTCAACTTTGACCGTCCAAAAGAAGTTCGCTTCTTGACTGAATCCTAATCTCCATATGACCCAGACTCCCTCCATTTTCACACATTTCAAGACATTCCAGCCCCGTATCTTGTCACCTGCTAACTGTATATACAAAGATATATACCTATCCCTGGAAACTCCCTTTCAAGCTGTCATAATGACTTTACGTCGTGTCGCCAGAATGATAATATTTACCACTCGTTGAAGTAGTCGTAAAACGCTCGGCTCCACATCCTGAATGATCATACACATTATGTTTGAGTGTAGGCAACCATGTGCTGTACATAACAATTCTATTGTCTGTTGACATTTTATGAGCGCTTCAAGTTTTTAATTGAAACGATATTAGCATTTGAATCATCCATGTTCGCATGATATGTGAGTGAGAGAGTATGGTTTTACGCCGCTTTTAGAAATATTCCAGCAATATCACGGCGGGGGACACCAGAAATTGGCTTCACACATTGTACCCATCGCATGTGGTTAATGGTTGTGATGTGTTTGTTTGTTTAACGCCGACTCAGCAACATTCCAGCTAAATCATCTGGACCAGACAATCCAGTGATCAACAGCATCGATCTATGCAACTGGAATAAGACGACATGTCAACCAAGTCAACGAGCCTGACCACCCGATCCCGTTAGTCGCCTCTTACGACACGGCATGGGTTACTGAAGATCAATTCTAACCCGGATCTTCATGAGCTTATCTTTGTGAAGCCGACACTATAGTGTATAGATCATTCATCATTATTCCTACAGATCATACGTTCGGAATTCTGAGTGTGGGAAGTCCGCATAAGACAGGTTAGCGCATTTGGCGGGTGTTATTTGACTAATAAAATAATATTCACATGACTGTAGACATATTTTGAAGATCCGATCGCACTTTGTAAATAAAGTACTCCACAGAATAGAGTGAACCCGCTGTCCTTTGTCGCCACGCAAGCCCAAAGTACGTTGTTGTGGTGGATTTTGTTTGTTTGTTTGTTTAGCTGTTTGTCTACAGATTAGCAGACTCTCGGTTTTGTGTAGACTAAACGAAATCGGGCGCCATACCGTTCTCTAATGATTATTTCGCTGATTAGACCGATTCATAATCAATATATGGATATATGAGTGAGTGAATGAGTTTAGTTTTATGACGCTTTGGCAATATTCCAACAATATCACGGTTGGGGACACGAGAAATGGCCTTCACACATTGTACCCATGTGGGGAATCGAACCCGAGTCTTCTGCGTGACGAGCGACGCTTATACCACTAGGCTACCCCATTCCCCTAAGCATCTACGATCTGCTAAACCGATTCAAATAGATTTCTCAGTTTTAACTAATGCTTCCCACATAGTGTGAATGGTAATTTACTCCATGTGACTTATACAAATGTTTGAGTGATTAATGCTTCATAGAATGTGTGGATTAAATGCATATTGACATTATTCCGTCAATAGATGAAATGTATGAAAGTAAGCCCTTATTCAACTGGCGATGGCGTCTGTGTGGTATAATGCATGGTGGAAAGTGTTTTTTTATGTTTTTTAACCTGAAGAACATGGAAAAGTGTTCTGTTATAGTAGAAAAATGCACCTTGACTGGCATGCCCCTGAAGAACATAACAGACACATCAGAGAGATACAAAACATGTAAATATGCTTTGTATCTCTCTGATGTGTCAGTAGCTCTGCTGATGGAACACAAATTTCTGAAAAGGCATTAAAGTATTATTCTAGTCTATTCTTATAATAACCTCATAATATATGGTGTAGTTTCAACTTACTTTATTTTTAAATGTGAATCGTTTTGCGCGTTTTGCGTTCCGATCGTGTTTGGTTAATCACATCAGTTAGATTATGTACCTTGAAATTCCTAAATTCACGAGTCTTGTTTAATAGTGCAACAAACATATTAAATGAGTTTCAGACTGCCAGGCATGAATCAAATGTTTGTTTGGACGTTATCGGTTAAACTTATCCGGATAGTAACTGCCGCATATAATGTTGAAAAAAATAGAATTGTAAGGTGAATGGTGTTACATGAGAGGGACACCAACACGAAAAGTTATGTATTAATACATGCAAAAAAATCCTCTGGCTTTCAGAACACTGACATACTTCAATACTTGACTACAGCTGTGGATGGGTCAATAAATCAAAGGGGGGTAACTCCACGATCATTTTTATTTATGTAGTAAGCGGTCAAAATGGCAGGTCCTTGGAACCTGTTGACGTTTTTGACATTTGGAATTTGGATGTTGGCATTCGCCTACGCCAGGCAAGTTAAGATATTTACTCTTTTCCCAATACGAATGATGCGAGGATAATTTGAGCATCGTGTTTTGATTGTCACGATTGCATTAGCACTGTTCCAGAAAATCTCATACTGAAAATTCGGGATCCATTTAGGCTTAGATACAGTGAATGCCTGGAGGCAAGACATCAGCGAACGTCAGGAATCTAGTCAGACTAGGAAATATGCAGGTTACTAAACCACGCTGACTGGTTTGGTGACTTTGTTTTTATTTACGATTGACGTTAAATCGTTACGTTACTTTTTGTTCCTTTCTCCTCATTTCTACATGAAGTTGGTGTATTTTTTAACCCATCGAATGCTTTGAAGAATTTAACATTTTTAATTATATTCATGATATTTGTCATGTTTATCTCTTATTTCATAAACGGTAAAGGTACTAGCATCAGTAGATAGTTAATTGTCTTCATGGTTACTACAACTTCTAAAATGCCATTTAATCATGTTTAGATGATGTATTGGTAAGACCTATCCCCCCTAAATTTTAACGATGATGAAATATGTCTTTGAGTGGCATTTTCAGAAGTAGGATATGCCTTCAGTATGTTCAGAATCAATTAAAGAAACATGTTAAAACTCATGTTTATCAGATGAGGAATATATATACGCATTTAGTATGATTTGACTAGAATGAAATTTAAGGGGGGATATGAGCGGAAGACTTTCCGATGTATCTGTGTATTATGTTTCTGCTAGTTTATTTGTTTGGACGCTTAAGAATAAGAAACATTTGGTTTTTGTTATTGAACATATGAACAACTGTAAAAGATTTAACTAATAACTCACAACTCTATCTTAAAAACAAGCCATTATCACCTCACAATCACATTGTCTGTGTATCACAACACACATCATTATACTAACCTATATCGCCAGTAAACACTGCAGTCTGAAAACGTATGGTGTCCAAACACATGATCCATTTCCGTTTTTGGTCATCTGAGGATAACACTCTTTTACAGTTCAGCATGCTCAGTGAGAATTGTGGTGCAACTGGAAATAGAAACATTTTAGCCAGAACATATTATCTGCTGCTTCATTTTTTGTTTGGAGTACATGGTGTACATATTCAATTTGATTAAATTAAGTTGTTACGGTAAACATGTCATGAAAAGTAACTAATAAAAGAAATTTGTATATAGCCTTGGTAATCTATGTGGTTGAAATAGAACTGGTGGTTTGTTTTTCAGTGCATCTGTATCCTACTGTTGGTATGGTGATATTGAATCTCACGCATCATTGATGAATGAAACATGTGCATCAGGCAAGGTGAGCTTAGCTAACATTGTGTCCCGAGAGACGGCTACAACAACACTATCACCTCCACAGAACTTGACTCACTCAACAGCAGGGGCAGCTGTGTCCATCAGTAAAGTCGCACACTGCATGATCTTCAGGTATATGAAGCACATCGAGACCGGGGCAAGAGAGAGGACATATGAAATCAGCACGTACGCCAACTACTCGTGTGACCATCCTGGTTTGTGTAAAGGCGTGAGAAATGGATGGCTGTATAACGTAAGTACAGACAGCATGGATTACCCTAATACTAATACTTCAGGATGCACTCAGTGTTTGGAAATGAGTAGTTCAAAATGGGTCACCTGTACTTATTGCTAGTTCAGAACAGCTAAGATGGGTGTAAGTTGATTAGGCTTAGACAGTTTATACCATGTTTATCCTCTGCAAAGATAATAATAGGATGAATTCTGTGCTTAAGAAGTCATTATTCAGGCCCTGATATTTAATCATGGAAAAATGGTATCCAGCAGTGAGATACAGCACCAGTAAAAATCTTTAAAAATCTTACAGTGTTGAAATATTTTCTTAAAAAAATCTTTAAAAGTTTTAAGCAAAAATTCAATTTTGAAAAAATTGAAGAACTGATTTAATAACTTTGAAAATATGCATGATTATTATGAGAAGTACGTGATAAGAGGTGATTGTCTTGCAGGTGACTTACAAAGGACTCCATGGAGATGTTTACTGTTGCAACACAAACCAGTGCAACATTCATATTCAGGGAATTCCCCCTCAGCAACAAATCTGCTACACCGGGAACAACATCACTCTCAGACCCACAGGTGATGACAGCAGAACACGATGAGTCAATATAACCGTAGCTATATACACCTTCATATGATAATTGTCACAGAACTTGACCATAGTCTTTGACATCACTTGACCGCCTCCGTGGTGTAGTGGTTAGAGTGTCCACCTGGAAAGCGCAAGTCCGCGAGTTCGATCCCCGGCCGTGTCATACCAAAATATGTTAAAATATGGTACTTGTTGGTCCCTGCCTGGCGCTCGGCATTAATGGGTACATCAAGGACTGGTCGGCTCGGAGTCAGTATAATGTGTCTGAGGGGTATTCATGCTTCACTGCGGCATGGTATCTCAGTGAACTAGCACTATAAAACCAGCTGAAGTCTGGGCTAGTACAAGCAGCCACACATACACATGCATGCATGTCGTTAAGAGTGAAATATTCTTAAGTAACGATGTTATACCGCATTTAAACCTACAACTCATATGTTGTGTCAAATGTAAAAGAACTTGGAATATAGGCTATATTCCCATATGCCTGTGATGGTGTGTTTGTAATGGAGAGTTAGAACTCCACCTCTGTGGTCTAGTCGATAGAGCATCTGCTCGTAAGGTGGAGGGTTAGTGGTTTGATCAGGTGCTTAGTCATACCCAAAAAAGTAAAAAGAAAGTACTTGTTGTTACGCTACCTACCGCTCCCCATTAAGTTGATAAAACATGCATTGGCAGCTCGGAGTCAATAATCAGTAGAGAATGTAACGTGTGTGCAAAATTGTTGAGAGACTGCCTAACCTATAGAATTCTGCATGTTGCACGGAAACATTTCTACAACTAAAAAAATAAAGAAACAAAATTAAGTCATTGGTAGTAGTACAAATTGTTGAAAATTGACATGAATGAAAAGTAAAAAGAAAACTTAAATGGTCAATTTGGACAAAAATGTTGATAACCATGAAGCTGACACTTCACCCTCAGAACTTGTGAATGTCCTGAGTATTGATTAGTTTCTGTTTCAAATTTAGAGATTAAACAGGAGAAATATGATTGAATATTTTCAAATTATTTTCAAATTATACTGGCTCTTCATAAAGGGGCCGGTGGGGGTAGCCTATTGGTTAAAGTGTTCACTTGTCACGCTGAAGACCCATGTTCGATTCCCCACATGAGTATAATGTGGGAAGCCCATTTCTGGTGTCCCCCACCGTGATATTGCTGGAATATTGTTTAAGTGGTTTAAACCCTTCTCACTTAATTTAATACTGACATTTTTCTTTGTTTTTTTTATGAATACCATTGTCTCCTTAAAAGTTAAAATCATTTTTTACACATTTTGAAATTTCCTCTGTTCCTCAGCCAACCTTGAAGTCTGTAAAATACCTGTGTGTGGTCAAGCCTCTTGGGTGGAAAAAGGGAAGAGAGTGACCCAGTATTTCTGTGATAACTTCTCTTCTTGTCAAAAACATGGGATCGCAGTCGGCAATTATAGCAACTGCAAGCAGGTGAGTCAGTGTTTGTTGTGTCAGCTGGTAGTGGGTTAGCTTAGAATACTGCTTGGTTCATGAGCTGGCAGTGGGTTAGCTTAGAATAGTGTTTGGTTCATGAGCTGGCAGTGGGTTAGCTTAGAATAGTGTTTGGTTCATGAGCTGGCAGTGGGTTAGCCTGGAATAGTGTTTGGTTCATGAGCTGGCAGTGGGTTAGCCTGGAATAGTGTTAGATTCATGAGCTGGTAGTGGGTTAGCCTGGAATAGTGTTTGGTTCATAAGCTGGTAGTGGGTTAGCCTGGAATAGTGTTAGATTCATGAGCTGGTAGTGGGTTAGCCTGGAATAGTGTTAGGTTCATGAGCTGGTAGTGGGTTAGCCTGGAATAGTGTTAGATTCATGAGCTGGTAGTGGGTTAGCCTGGAATAGTGTTTGGTTCATGAGCTGGTAGTGGGTTAGCCTGGAATAGTGTTAGATTCATGAGCTGGTAGTGGGTTAGCCTGGAATAGTGTTAGATTCATGAGCTTGTAGTGGGTTAGCTTGGAATAGTGTTTGGTTCATTAGCTGGTGGGGTTAGCTTGGTAGTGGGTTAGCCTGGAATAGTGTTTGGTTCATGAGCTGGCAGTGGGTTAGCCTGGAATAGTGTTAGATTCATGAGCTGGTAGTGGGTTAGCCTGGAATAGTGTTAGATTCATGAGCTGGTAGTGGGTTAGCCTGGAATAGTGTTAGATTCATGAGCTTGTAGTGGGTTAGCCTGGAATAGTGTTTGGTTCATGAGCTGGTAGTGGGTTAGCCTGGAATAGTGTTTGGTTCATGAGCTTGTAGTGGGTTAGCCTGGAATAGTGTTTGGTTCATGAGCTGTAGTGGGTTAGCCTGGAATAGTGTTTGATTCATGAGCTGGTAGTAGTGGTTAGCCTGGAATAGTGTTAGGTTCATGAGCTGGTAGTGGGTTAGCTGGTAGTGGGTTAGCCTGGAATAGTGTTAGATTCATGAGATTGTAGTGGGTTAGCTTGGAATAGTGTTTGGTTCATGAGATTGTAGTGGGTTAGCTTGGAATAGTGTTTGGTTCATGAGATTGTAGTGGGTTAGCTTGGAATAGTGTTTGGTTCATGAGCTAGTAGTGGGTTAGCCTGGAATAGTGTTTGGTTAATGAGCTGGTATTTGGTTAGCCTGGAATAGTGTTTGGTTCATGAGCTGGCAGTGGGTTAGCTTGGAATAGTGTTTGGTTCATGAGCTGGTAGTGGGTTAGTTTGGAATAGTGTTTGGTTCATGAGCTGGCAGTGGGTTAGTTTGGAATAGTGTTTGGTTCATGAGCTGGTAGTGGGTTAGCCTGGAATAGTGTTTGGTTCATGAGCTGTTAGTGGATTAGTTTGGAATAGTGTTTGGTTAATGAGCTGGTAGTGAGTTAGCTAGGAATAGTGTTCACAAGCTGTTTCCAGGTAGATTATGTTTAATGTTTAGTATATCAACAATTTCCAGGAAACAAAGGCAATTACCATTGGATTATATGCCTTTACAAACAACAATCTGAGTAACAGAATCACATGTTTTACAATCTATATTCGATGGGTTTTTCGTCAATATATTTCTGTGCCATCTGCCATAATAAAAACATTACAAACCCACTCTCTCACTCGCTTTTGTTGTCACAGGTAACCATGGGTACAAGCAACAAGACAGAGGAGTTGTGTTGTTGTAGCCGGAACAAATGTTACGTCCCGTCGTGGAAAGACAAGCAACGCAGCAAACAGCATACATCCAACAGCAGCTCTAACAGGCAGTGGATCATTGCAGGAACTGTCATCTCACTCACATTCTTCGTTGGAGTTGGTGCTGCTATTCTACTGGCTCTCATGCAGTACAGAAAGAATATAAGGGGAGATAATCACATCTCTCTGATGTATCGGAGGATTGGGGAGTGCGACAGGCAAGGGGATGAGGACGTGCTGATAACATAGGTCAGGCTCTGTGTGACAAAAAAAACTTTTGACACCCAAACCACAACAACACATATATTAAATTTTCAGAATTGCAATTTTTGAATTAAAATCTGCCTTGCTTCTGTTATGCAGAGATGTGACACTTGAGGAGTCAGTAAACTCTGGTTTATTTTTGTCAAAATTTGGTTTGTATCTAAATAATAACCATTTCCCTTACATGCATCAGGAGTGTTTGATTTTGTGTTGATCTTTCCATCTTGACTCAAAACATCTCCAGTAATTTTTAGAAATGGAGATTAGAATATATTAATGTGAGATATAAGTTAACTTGGTACCTGTAGTTCACTCTTACCCCTTCACCATAGTTGTCATAGCGCTACAACTACACTGATGTAACAGTCGTCTAAACCATTTAGTTGGTGCTTCATACACCTTAGCCATGTGTGGAGTTGGTATTCATGCTTTTACTGAGGGTAAACGTGTGTTTGTTTAATTTTTCTATTGTACAGTAAACATACTATTATTTATCACTAACATGAAGCCATGTTTATTATTTTGTTGCAGTATTTACATATGGTATAGATGACATATTGTGCTCTGTACTTGCAGCTCAAAGGCCAGCATGAGTTGTAATAAAATGCAATGCAGGTAAAAATGTTTTATAAATGCTTTTGAGGTAATATTGTGTCTATCTGGTGAAGAGACTTTTCTGCCACTACAATGAAAGTTGATATACCAGTAGAGACAGACATTGTGTGGTTTATCTTAATGTGTGTGTTTATCTATATGCATAGACAATTTTATCATGTGAAATATAACATGAGGATCTGTGTACACAGATAATTCAGTTGCTGCTATGAAATACAAATGGCAGCATTGCATTTATTATTGTATTTCTATCAGTATACAGCTCAAAAGAAGTTGAGGACCACCCTGTTCTCCATGTTACTTAGAGAGTGTAGGCCATCTGGCCATGTTACATCACTGATCTTACAGTACAGTACTCTATGCCACTTCATATCTCCTCCAGGGCTACCAAAGAAAACTTTCCCACTGTACAGAAAAACGCAGAAAAGCCCACATTAATGGTGGAAATAGTAACATAAACATAATACCTCGCTACTGAAAAAGTAAAAACAGCAACAAAAGACTATGAAACTGCAACATTTTTATATCAGCAAACTTTGACCTCTACTGCTCATGCACGTCACGATCCAAGCTTCTTTAAATTGCTTCACTCAGAAAAAGTATTGAATATGTCACAATGGTTGCTGTCACTCATTTCATACGAATGGAAAGTAAACTAAACAAGTGTGCACACAAGTATGATGATGATAAATGCCAAATAACACAACAGAAATATTTTGAATAGGGAGCGTGACTTTTGTCCAAGCTGGAAAATGTCAACATGCGGTGAAGGCTTCCTCTTCCATGTTCGCATGCACAAAATCGAAGTTGCAGGCTCTTCATTTTTTTTATCCAGTTTATTGATTTAAAGTGGCTGCTTTTTCTGTTTCAGTAGCGAGGTATTATGTTTATGTCACTATTTCCATGAGAAATGTGGACTTTTCAGCGTTTTTCTGCACAGTGGGAAAGTTTTCTTTGGTAGGCCTGTTCTCAGGACCCTCATATTTCCAGTAAGGACATTTGAAATAATAACTGGGGTGCCTTGGAAGCCTAGTAGGTGAAGGTAAAACCTTTCTATCTTTACTGATATGAACAATTTGATTGGTCCTAAACTTTTTTTGAGTAGTATACACCAGTGTTCATATCTTGGTCGTGTCAGATACGCCGTTGTACAGAAGGCTGTTATAGATTTAGAGGCAGGATATCATATCACTCATTGGTTAGCTTCACATGAGAAAATCCGTCCAAAACGCTCATCTCCTTGCCTGTATGTGTGTTCATGTGACCCTGTGTTATTTATATATGTGTGTGTGTTTTGTGTGTGTCAAATAGAAAGACATATCTGATCAGGTTTTGTAACTTTACTGTCATTCTCATTTTTACATATTTTGCATGATCATGTGTTCATCTTTGTCAGATTTTTCCCATATATACACTTTAGGCTGATATTGATATTTATGTTTATGGCTGTATGTGGACAAACCATTACTATCTCGTTATTTCAAAGCAACTCAGATGCTTGTCAATTTTGCAGTGTACTGTGTAGAGGATATAAAAGGTACGCAGCTCAGAATAACTAGAGATCAGTATCATTGCATAGAATTTCTTGACATTTGGGATTGTATTGGGTTACTCCTTCCTTGAAGCTGTCATGTCTTTGGATAATCCTCCAAACACTTTCCTAATGTCACCTCCTTGAAGTTACTGAGATTTTTTATGATCGTCCCCTAAAGCTGTCATGTTTTTAGATATCCCTTCTCTGAAACTGTCATGTTTTTAGATATCCCTCCTCTGAAAGTGTCATGTTTTTAGATATCCCTCCTCTGAAAGTGTCATGTTTTTGGGTATCCCTTCTCTGAAACTGTCATGTTTTTAGATATCCTTCCTCTGAAACTGTCATGTTTTTAGATATCCTTCCTCAGAAAGTGTCATGTTTTTAGATATCCCTCCTTTGAAAGTGTCATGTTTTCAGATATCCCTCCTCTGAAACTGTCATGTTTTTAGATATCCCTCCTCTGAAAGTGTCATGTTTTTAGATATCCCTCCTCTGAAATTGTCATGTTTTTAGATTTTAGATATCCCTCCTCTTAAAGTGTCATGTTTTTAGATATCCCTCCTCTGAAAGTGTCATGTTTTTAGATATCCCTCCTCTGAAACTGTCATGTTTTTAGATATCCCTCCTCTGAAAGTGTCATGTTTTTAGATATCCCTCCTCTGAAACTGTCATGTTTTTAGATATCCCTTCTCTGAAACTGTCATGTTTTTAGATATCCCTCCTCTGAAACTGTCATGTTTTTAGATATCCCTCCTCTGAAACTGTCATGTTTTTAGATATCCCTTCTCTGAAACTGTCATGTTTTTAGATATCTCTTCTCTGAAACTGTCATGATTTTAGATTTTAGATATCCCTCTTCTGAAACTGCCATGTTTTTAGATATCCCTTCTCTTTAACTGTCATGTTTTCAGATATCCCTTCTCTGAAACTGTCATGTTTTTAGATATCCTTCCTCTGAAAGTGTCATGTTTTTAGATATCCCTTCTCTGAAACTGTCATGTTTTCAGATATCCCTTCTCTGAAACTGTCATGTTTTCAGATATCCCTCTCTCTGAAACTGTCATGTTTTTTTCAGATATCCCTGTCATGTTTTCAGATATCCTCTGAAACTGTCATGTTTTTAGATATCCCTTCTCTGAAAGTGTCATGTTTTTAGATATCCCTTCTCTGAAACTGTCATGTTTTCAGATATCCCTTCTCTGAAACTGTCATGTTTTCAGATATCCCTTCTCTGAAACTGTCATGTTTTTAGATATCCCTTCCTCTGAAACTGTCATGTTTTTAGATATCCCTCCTCTGAAAGTGTCATGTTTTTAGATATCCCTTCTCTGAAAGTGTCATGTTTTCCGATATCCCTCCTCTGAAACTGTCATGTTTTTTCATATCCCTCCTCTGAAACTGTCATGTTTTTAGATATCCCTCTTCTCTGAAACTGTCATGATTTTAGATTTTAGATATCCCTCTTCTGAAACTGCCATGTTTTTAGATATCCCTTCTCTGAAATTATCATGTTTTTAGATATCCTTCCTTTGAAACTGTCATGTTTTTACATATCCATTCTCTGAGACTGTCATGTTTTTAGATATCCCTCCTCTGAAAGGTTTTATATATACCTCCCTGACTTATATATTCACAAAATATACTCAGAGCTCTTCTGCTTTCAACTGGTATAGAAATATTCATTGTGAACAACCTATAATGGAATGAGAATAACTTAATAAGGCAAATTGTGTGAAAGTGTATTGTCATATAAAAATGTATGGATAAAAATAACAGGGCATAGACTATGTTTTATACCAACACAAATATCCCATACTTGCTGTGTCCAGTAGAATGTGTAGCATGTCATGCTCAGACTCTACAACTGTCTTTGCTATTGTAAGTATAGTGCTCAGTTGACAGAAATATGCTCATGTTTTGCACTGGTATTTTTGGATAAGGAAGTATGATTTGGGGATGCAATATATGTAGAAGATACAGATTCATGTTTATGACATACCTTTTCTTCACCTCCAAATATCAGGTTTGGAATACTGTATGAGTTCCGTCCCCTGCGCTTCGTTCCATGGCAAGACTTGAAAAATATGACATATTGCCAAGACACCCTGCACCTATATTAGCTAACTCGTGAAATTGTGCCTTTTATTGTTTGATTTGTATTTTGTCCTTGTTTTCTATGTTTCATTGAAAGAATTGCATTTTAGATCTGATCATGGTATCTTTTGTGTCGAGACGTGAAGGTTTTAGATATAATACTCTGACAGGAAGTAGAACTAGCAATGTTTGTAAGGTAATATTCAGATGTGATTATGTTGAAATTTCCAAATTTTACAATCGTGTTTTGTTTCTGTTGTATTTTGTGTTTCCAGAATTACTAATGTTTGATTCAGGAGTTTGATTATCTGGGTTCATGTTAGGCGCTACAAAGGTCAAGTATTATATATTTGTGACCTATATGATATGCATAATTTAGGAGATGGAAAAAATCTTTATTAGTCATTATGAAGGTCCCACATGTGTTCAGATGAGAAACATATTTATCATACTTATCATGTTTGCAACACCAGGTGCCTAATTAAGGCGAACAAGTGTTGTAAGGGCTGATTCTATAAGTATTCCAACATCAGGTCTTTGGCCCAAGGTTATTTTATTAGGAGATATAGATAAGAACAATGTAGATGTGTTATTAAATATTTGTCTTGGAACACAAAATTTGTTTGTATTCAGAAAATCTGATTTTTTTCATTCTATTAACTGTAGTTGAGCATCTGATGAAGCCAAATATTGCTGGTGTAAGAAAGAAAATGTTCTATTTTTCTGTTATTCCAATGTGTCTGTTTATTTTCGTAACACTCTTTTAATCCCCCAACCCTCCTGACAATGTCAGTCCCTTATTCTACCTTGATGGGAAGGAATAAATTGTGGTAATTTTCTTTGAATTTATTTCATCATAGATGCATGTCTGTTACAACATGGAGATGATGAAAGAGTGTGTTTGGACATGTGCCATCCATGTTTTGTCTATTGTATGTAATTATTTCTGTAAAATGGAGACAGTTTCACCGCAGCTTACAGTAGAACCTGTCAATTATGTCCTAGAAAGTTTTGCATTTTCCCGACGATAAGTATGAAATCAAAATAACGTGACAGGCCTTGACCCAGTCTGGTCATTGTGATACTGGAATGGAAATTAATGATCATAATCATCATAATTGATTATAGTCCTGAGACATTAGATATTACCTTGGGCTTATAAGATTAGGATGCTGTCAGTACATCGATCTTCTTAGTTTTCGTCCATATTCTGGGGCGGTGGGGTAGCCTAGTGGTTAAAGCGTTCGCTCGTCACGCCGAAAACCCGGGTTCGATTCCCCACATGGGTACAATTTGTGAAGCCCATTGCTGGTGTCCCCCGCCATGATATTGCTGGAATTTTGCTAAAAACGGCGTAAAACCATAGTCAGTCAGTCAGTCAGTCGTCCATATTCTGTTAATGTAATTGTGCTCTTGATTCCCCCAATCTGCTGCAATTTGACACTATAAGCAGTTTGAATTTGGAAGTATAATGTTTCATAAGAACTACTAACATTTTGCTCCTGATTAGCAGAACATACACCACCCTTACCCCTGTTGGCTTTTTTATTTTTAAGTAAATTTCCATCCCAGTGACAATGAATAGGTTAACAGGGTTTCTCTGCAGTGACTTTAGTGTGTGTTGCCAGATAAAGAAGAAACAGTCAGATTATTGAGTGAGTGAGTGAGTTGGGTTTAATGCTGCTGTGAACAGTCTTCCATGTGTATTACACCGTGTAAGCCTCATGTGGGGTATGGCCTGAGGTAATGGAGGTGACAGATGGTTCCCTATTAAGTGTAACCAGCAAGCAGGGGCATGCTGCTGACAAACATAGAGACATAACTGAGTG